AAAGGGAGAAAAATAGAGTATAGCTTCGATCTGTGTATTGTATCAAAAGTTTTTCTTATTTGAAGAAGCATTGAGTTGAACTTGCTGTAGTTACTGCAAGCTCAATACCAGGTAAGGGTTCTGACCGGGTCTTTTTCAGGCCATGGAAATAGCACAAGAGGATAATTTCAATGAATCTGATTGCTACAAATTAATGTTTTGGTTTCTTGATGAGTGAAGTCTGTTGAAGAATAGGGGCTTTCCATTTGGGTGGGACCATTTGAATTACAGATTGATATGTTGAGTAGATTTATTTTTAGTTTTCCACTGTAGACACAGTATGGCAACAGAAATGCCATGTATACCTCCAGAAACACAACTAAATTGAACAAATTGGTGTTCCTCACTGCGATGAGAGATAACACACACAATTGGACACCGTGGGGTGTCTGTGGGAGAATGTCAAAAAGGATTTACAGGATATGGGCTGTGTGTGGTGATTTGGGAAAGGATTCAAGAAAGTGGGACTTTGGTCTGAATTGGATGCTGTGAGGAAGTGGAATTAATTCTATAATTGTGCATCTTATCTAGAAAGTGAAGCGAAGGAAGCCAGGCTAGAGCTTTAATTACTGAAGAATCAGCAGTCACTCGTATTAGCTAAGATGGGTGGGGTGTTGGTATTTTGTGGCTTGGACAATGTTCATATTTTGTCTGTGTTCAGACATGATATGGAATAATACTATTTTTTAAAAAATTGAACGTTTCTTGAATTTGTGTCATCATTGCATGGAGGCCATGCCACCCTTCTTTGTATTGTTTCAGTTTTAGTATATTTATTGCTGACAAAAGCATGGAATGATCTTATTTTTGTCAGGAGCTCTTATGGTCACAAAGTGGTCTTGTCTGAGGCTGATGTTTTGTGCAATTGTTTATGTTCAACTGGGCAACATCAAGACCTCATTGTGAAGACCAGACAACTTTTAGCAATGCCATTATGCATTGCTGATTGTACCAGGACAGCTCCTGACCATCAGTACTGGTTTTCTCTTTCTCAGTTAGCAAGATATTGCTATAAGGAAAGCCCTCAAAATCAGGGCATATGTTAGGACTAGATTTTGTCACATGAAGCAAACCAACAAACCCAAAATAACAGTGGCTCAAACAGTAGAGATGTTTTTTTCTCTTTCACATAGAAAATAATTCTGGAGGTAAATCTTCCATTGCTGGACAGGGACCCAGACTTCTGGGGGGACCCAGCAGGAGCTAGCTCAGTGCTCTGCCTTCCTTAGCTTTTTGTTCCTTGTACTTAAGGTCCAAGATGGCTGCCTGAGTTCCAGCCATCACACTAAAATTCCATTCAACCATAAGAGGAAAGGAAGAAGAAGGTGACTGGCACACTGTCTGGAGACTTCCTGAAGGTACCATTCAACATGGCTACTCGTATTTCATTTGCCAGCACTCATGTTTGTGAAATGCTTGAATAACTGGGGTTCTGTTATGAAAAGAAAGGTAATAATTGCTCTTGAGGGGCTACAACCATCTGGAGTTGGGATAATACAACTGCCACATTGAGTTCTGTGAAAGGCAATTCTATTGGCTATTGTTGTATGCAAATATCCCTCTCTTTGGTGAAACAGCAAGCAGCTAATTATGTTAAGGGATGCCTTCTTTTTGGTCTCTTTCTTTTGTAACAATCTCAAGAGTTCAAGTTTCCAAAGTGAACTCTCTTTTTCAGTCTTTTGGAGCTTTGTAGCTTGATGGAAAAGAATGCTGTGATTCAGCTGGCCACGTTGCTAGGCTGCCTGACGATTTACCTCTAGCAGTGGGGAAGAAACAGTTGCGTTGTTGAAAATATTTAACTTAAAAATGAATAAAAATTATTCTTCAAGTTTATTTTTTAATAATTAAATCATTTTGCTTAGAAGAACTAAAACATTTCTGTGTTGTTCTTCTTTCTGTTTTTTTTTTTTTCAGGTGAATAAAATTGTAAACAAAAAGTTCATGTTGGCTCTATAACTGCATGCAGACAGACATCTGGGCTGGAAATGTGAGAAAATTGTAAAGAATTTGGAAAAGTTCAAAGGCTCAGGTTATTAAAGTTTTAATAATCTTCTTTTCTGCAGCGCTAACCCCCTGCTATTCTTTCAATGCGGTAGGAAAACAAAATATGGACAAAATTGTAGTTAATTAGAACTGAATCTTCATTGGAAAGCCTATAGAAGTCATTTGGGATTTTTATAGAAGCTGAGAGTTGGGAGCCACTAGTCTGAAAACATACAACTTTATTTTCACTTAAAGAATTTGGAGGATATTTGTTAGAGTTTACCAAAATAGGGTATATTTTTTCTTTTTAAAAAACCTGTCAGTTAATTCATATAGTTGATTGCAAAACACTGTTTTGCAAGAATTGCCTATGAAAATAATCTCATTTAGCACTTTAACTTTTTCCTGTTGCTCAATCAGAGCAAAACAAAATATTCATATGAACAAAATGGCTATAGTGATATGAAGATGCACAAATGGCATATCTTTAATCAATTGTCAAATTTTTGGATTACAGGAACAGCATTCCTTGTTACCTGAAATATGTTGAAAAATGAGAATAAGTGATTTTTCTTCAGAGTAAAGTACAATTTATTTTTGCCATAGACTTGTAACACCAGCGTTGTGATGTTTTGGTTTGAAATTGGTTTTCTTTTAAAGGCATCTTAAAAGTATATACCATGCTAGCACAAAATACAGTATGAATTTTAGTATATGTTGTAGAAGATTATACTTAGTGTATGAAATTTTTATGATCGTGATGGAAATATGTATGAAGATACGCATGTATGCACATTTGTATATCTGAAATACGCAGACACAAAGAATACTTTAAATTGTGTTGAATCGAGGATGGTGAAAGAATTTTACTCAGTAAGCTGCAGCCATGAGCACTGAAATATGGCTTCAGAGAGAAGATGTTTGGAATTGTTCTAATGGGCTAAGTGATTCCAAATGCAAGTCCATATCGCAGACTCCTAGGCTCTTTGTGAGACTAATTGACTTTGCTGTAGAGTTTTGGCAAAGCTCTTATTATTTTTACTACATTTTCCTTTTTAATAATGTAAAATTGAACTAACTTCTAAAATTCAAGTTCCCCTTTATGAGTTTGTTAGCCCTTCCTTCACCAAATTAATGACCAACTGGGCAAGACAGCCAAAAATGTTTTACCACTCTGGGCATTTGTTAATTGGTTGTTCGTTGGACTATATATGAGGGAAAATTATTGCTACTATAAACCAGAGAGTGTAAAGGAAAAGCAGTGATATAAATATGGAACTGGACTGGGCAGGGAAAGCTAGTGATGTAAAAGTTCTGTTTTTCTGTTAGATGGTTCCCCTAGGAAGACTGCAAATACCAAAAATAAAATGCAGCAGAGCAAACCAGAATGTAGAAGTTTGTTTGGATGTCTCCTGGCCAAGAAGATTCATTGTTTTGGTTTGTTTTTAAAGCCCTTATGATAACTGTCTTTTTTTTTTTTTTTTTTAATGGGCTCTTTGAACAAATCAAAAGTAGTAAAATCTATTTCACCTTGAAAGTTGCTGCAAAAGTAGTTTGATCCTCGGGACTGGGAGAGTGATTAGGAAGAAATAAAAATTCCAAGACTGGAATTTCTGACCCTTCAAGAATGTGAGGTGTACATTAATTCCACTTCTCTAGGCCTGACATTCCTTGGAAATTTCCCTTGGATTATCCTGGGGGAAAACCACAGACACAGGGACAGACCCCCAGCTTACTCTCTCTTTGTCCACTTTTGTCCCCATGCAGGGTTCTCTACTAATTCTCCTTATAAATGCCAATCAGACACTGTTTTAACTCATGTTTTAAGCTGGGGAAGGAATCCAGGGATCTGGCTCATGTTGCAAAGGTTTCCAACAGTATCAGGTAATTCACTATTAGCTGGGCTCCATTCAGAATGGTAACTGAGACCTGAAAGGCTGCACGACTCATTACCAATTACCAATTCCCTGGGCCATCCGGTTCCCTGGCAGAAAAGCTTCCGATGAATTTGCGTTGCAAATTGAAAACATACTGTCAACAGCAACAAGTCCAGAAGATGTTTACCTTAATTTTTCCAAGGCAGGCTTTTATATGTGGATGTTTTTGTTTAAGGACCAGCATTCTTGATTTCCTGCTGTTTCTGGGGTTGGTGCGTGTTGGTACAAAAGGGTTGTCACCATCTCATGATGGAGAGGAGAAATGAAGTGGCTATGTGAAGACACACTGGCATTCGTGTCTGTGTTCTGTCTGTGCCTTCCCAGTGGAGCCTGAGACATAACTTTGCATGGGGCACAGGTTGGCAGATGTCACAGCTGACACAGAGCCATTCAATTTTCCTAAGTGCTTAGGCACCTGGGACATGATCCTGTTGAAGGGCTCCTTTTGCAGATAAGCAAAGTGAGGTTCAGATTGATGTGTCACTTCTCCAACGACATCCCCATAGTTAGCATCATGGTTTAGTCTAGAAGTTCATGTTTTCTTGGAAGCCCCATGCTTTTTCATAGGTTTGGTGCTCAGGCTAAATATTTGCTAATGATTGATGTGTATAAAATAAAGTATTAGAAATTAATTTATATGGCTGGGTGCAGTGGCTCATGCCTGTAACCCCAGCACTTCGGGAGGCCAAGGTGGCTGGATCACTTGAGGTCAAGAGTTCGAGACCAGCCTGGCCAGCATGGTGAAATCCTGTCTCTACTTAAAATACAAAATTTTGCTGGGTGTGGTGGCGCATGCCTGAAATCCCAGTTACTCGGGAGGCTGAGGCACGAGAGTCACTTGAATCCAGGAGGCAGAGGTTGCAGTGAGCTGAAATCGCACCTCAGCACTCCAGCCTGAGTGACAGAGCACAGAGGAAAACTCTGTGGCAAAAAAAAGAAAAAAAAAAAAAAAAAGAAATTAATTTCTAAGTTTCTCTTGAATCTGAGAGCATCGGGATGTAGGGCCTCAAAGGAAAAATATTTAGCCCTTTGATCCTTGTTTGCCAAGTAATACCCACCTACTTCTAAAAGTACTGTTGGAGCCTGGGCAACCTGGTGAAACCTCATCTCTACAACAAATCCAAAAATTAGCTGGATGTGGTGGTGCATGCCTGTGTTCCCAGCTACTTGGGAGGCTGAGACTGGAGGATCCTTTGAGCCTGGGAGGTCGAGGTTGCAGTGAGCCGAGATGGTGCCACTGCCTTCAGGCCTGGGTGATGAAGCAACACCCTATCAATCAACAAATAACAGTACTGTTAGGAGTAGCCTATGAGTTTGGCCAGTGTGAAGGCTTGTTTTAATCTGAGGTTAATGTCCTGATGCTTCTGCTCCATGGGAGGTCTATTCAGGGCCAGCAGGAGTTGGCTTGTAGAAACGTGGAAAACAGAGGCAGCTCTGAGCAAAACCCTGGGGAATGCATGTTGGGAAGCCTCTTTTTTTTTTAAATGCCTTGTTCTAAATTCTGAGTCTCCCCCTTCACCCATAAATTAAAGTTGAATGTATTTACTTAGATTACATGTCATCAAATCACAAGTCCTGCCCAGAGACCAGACAAGTATCTGGAGCAAGTCTGAAAAAGCAAGTTAACTCATTGCAAACCTTGGGTGAAAAAAGCCCATGTTCTATGGCTGTCAAGGGGAAGGGAGCATGGCTTTGGCCAGGGCAGAAAGTGGGAGTCCCACTCATGGTAGGCTGGTTTCACAGAGGGCTTTCCAGATCCATAAACCAAGGCAGTTTTGCTAAATGGTTCTCTCAGCCGGGTACCTATGGGACGAAATTCAACATGCTGAGAATATCCAATGAAGTCTGAAAGAAACAGGCAACGCGGAG